TTCCTACAACAACGTTGCTCGAGGTAATAATTCCAAAAGCCATGATTATTGTCATATCATCAATTGAAAAATAAACACCATCAATTTCCATTAGGGTCGGTCAAAAATGTGATATGTGGTGTGGAGATTTTGAGGAGGCGAAGGTAGGCAAACACATATTATGAATCATATTAATTGACTATGGGATGGAATGATTTTTGGATAGGGCAACCACACACATATGTGTTTTACTCTCACAATTGTGAGTAGGCTGTGTAGTATTAATCTCAGTCACCATGATTTTAGTTTTTTTATTTGTTTGTGCAGATATGGCAAAGTTTTTAAGTCACATTTGTTCGGGTCGCCAGCTATAGTGTCGTGTGACAACGAGTTCAACATGTTCATCCTTCAAAATGAGGGAAAGCTATTCCAGGCCAGCTACCCTAAGGCCATGCAAGGGATTCTCGGGCAGTACTCGTTGCTGATCGTCTCCGGGGAGCATCACAGGAAGCTTAGGGGGATCACAGTGAGCTTCAGCGCGATGTCCAAATCTTCACCTGTGTTTCACTCTCGTATTGAGAAGCTCGCATTCTCAATGTTGGAGTCGTGGAGAGGGCGCAGAGAGATTGCCTTTCTCGAAGAGATGAAAAAGGTAAAAAAAAAAAAAAGTAAATTCCACATTGATTAATATTGATCATGGATTCCATTTTTCTGATTGATCTCTCTAAATTTTTTTGGTTACAAAATCTTCTAAATAATGGTTTTTCAGTTCACTTTGAGTTTGATGGTGAAAACCGTTTTGAGCATCGACCCGGAAGAACCAGTGGCCATGAGGTTTTTGCAAGATTTTAGAACTTACATGAAAGGCTTCATATCCTTGCCACTAAACGTTCCAGGATCTGCTTATGCCAAAGCTGTCAAGGTAACAACCCCAATAATACTGTGTTTTTAACGAGTAATCCAATTGCAACTAAAACTAAGATTCAGAGTGTTCTTAGGTGGTTAACCAAAAGGAAAAACGACAAGATGCGAGATTTGTGCAAATCTTTTCTACTTTCAATAACGAGGAATCTTCGTCTTATCTTATTCAATGGGCATGTAGAAAAATAGAGAAATTATACCACGAGAGAAAACATAGAGATCATGACTTGACGTTGTATGCGGGAAACCACAGAAGAAAACATCCACTTTGAGATTCAGTCACTCTATTTTTAAGATTCAATATTGATTCAAATTGACTCGGCACATACTAATTTAATTGCTCGCATTTTTATGGTGTCGAGAGATCTCGTATATAAAATTATCGGAATTTCTTATCAATTAATCTGTTATTCGTGTTTTTATGATGAATAAGAAACAATTGACCAAACACAACATATAGTTGGATTGTGACCAATTACTTAATCTATTCGAACTATTGTAACAAATTTGATTCTCACACTACGAAAAAGACAGTTCCTAGTGACGAGAGTTTAGTGATCACAAGACCAAAATTCTCGTATAAAAATGACTTTTAGTGATGACATGTAAGTTGTCAATACCGTCTATATTTATTGTAATAACAATACGTGGTCGGTAAAGATTGGATTAGGATTAGCGAGGGGAAGTTGCGGTGAGTAATGACCTTTTATTTTTAGTCTCTGTAGGCAGGTAGGATGCCGTAATTATACTAACCAAACGTCCGATTAATGTAATGTTTTACAGGCGAGGGCAAGGCTTGCGATGACGGTGAAGGAGATAATAAAGCAAAGGGAAATGACGACTACTACTCCGGCGCCGGCCAGAACCTGTAGTAACGACGGCAACTGTGGTGATGGAATTACGACGACCTCGTCGGGAGAGGAAAATGGGGACTTCCTGGAAGTGATATTGTCGAAGCACAGCAGCATAAGGCAAATGAACGATGACGAGAAAGTGAGCAGCGTGTTGGACATTGTGTTGGGTGGCTACGAGACCACTTCCACCCTCATTTCCCTCATCGTCTACTTCCTCCACCGTTCACCCGCCGCGCTCCTAGCTTTCAAGGTACACATTTTCGACAATTCGAATTATTGGAAACGAAGTATAGGGTTTATCAAAATATGTGTGAAAATATCAATTATATTAGAGGGCTCGTTGATATGGTTATAAGGGTTGGATAAATCATGAGTCATATTTTCATAGTTTGATATATTAGTAGAAACAACAAATGGGTGGGTTTGGTTTGATTTGGTTCGAGGAATTGGTTCGTTAGTGTTGCAAGTTAATTAGGACAGTGTTCAACCAGGTTATAGACAAAATCAATTAGGGGGTGACTCAGGTTATAAGTTGATCGGATACAATCCCCTAAAAGTTGGGCTAATTGCGGTTCGCTAATGGGGTTTTTCCCAACTCATATGGCAATCGGATCAAACCGGTCAGTTGGTTACAGTCAGAACTTGATAACAATAACTATAACAAGGTGTATGATGGAATTGTTGAAACGTGTGCAATGCAGGAAGAACATGAAGCTATAAGGAGGAACAAAGGCAAAGGGCAGCCCTTGGGGTGGGAGGATTACCAGAAAATGGACTTCACCCGCAATGTAATTATCAATGTTTTTATTATAATTACACTAATTAATTCCTGAAGTATTGTCTGCAATATTCCCTTTGATTTCATCCTCTGTATATTTAATATTATTGATCCAATATTTTGTGACTGACTGCATGTATGTAGGTGACAAAAGAAGCTGTGAGATGTGGGAATTTGGTCAAATTTTTACACCGCAAGGCACTCCAAGACGTGGAATTCAAAGGTTGGTTAATGTTTAATAGTTGATGTAGATCATCATTTACCAAAAGACTCGTATATAATTTGGCAAAACCTTGGGGACTCAATGGTTGGATGTCAAAAAAAAAAAACTTTTTAAATTAATAATATATTTTTACGCTCGCAGGGCATTTGATTCCTCGTGGATGGAAGGTGCTTCCTGTATTAGCAGGGCCAAATCTCGACCCGTCTCTTCACCATGACCACCTTCAGTTTAATCCTTGGAGATGGACGGTAAATGCCCTTAGATTTTCACCTCTACTCACAATACATACTAGCTACTGTATTGATCGATGCATGGTTTGATCTAATTTTCAATATGTTCATTTTATAATCTTTGGTGTTCAAAATTAAACTCATACATAGAACATAACGAACATAATGTTCGAATTAAAATACCTTATTTTGATATCATTATAATTCATTCCTTTCGTGTATCATCTTAATCACTATTATCATATGTTTGATGTTTATTATTTTCTCTTTTGGATTATATATAAAAGGAGGACAAAGAAATAGGGAAGAAGACTATGGGGTATGGTGGTGGACCAAGGGTGTGTCCAGGATCCGACCTAGCTAAAGTCATGGTTGCCTTCTTCCTTCATCATCTTGTCCTCACCTATAGGTACGTAATTAATTAACCCCCCTTCTCTTAATTAATCTAATTTCTTCAACTTAATTTATATTGCTACTCTAGACACATTCATTTAGGTCACGATTAGGGAATGTCTTACCTTTATTCCTTTGGTGGTTTAGTACATCTAATCATTACTTATATGACCCACATCTTGTACCTCTAGCTACTATTTATGCTTATATCACTTAACAACATGAATAATTAATTGTGTAGGTATCATGGTGTTCCTTTGTTGTTGTTCTAACTAGTTCTATTAGATATTTCAAATGCTTTTGTTGTTGTTCTTATTCATGCTATAATATGCTTATTTCTAAACGTATAGGTGGAAAGTGAAAGAAGATGAGTACCCAATTGCTTATCCGTATGTGGAGTTTCGAAACGGACTTCAAGTGGAGATTGAGCCGGTAGAATCACATGTTTAGATCGAGGATTAGGCATACAATAGAAAGAGACTATGTACATTAGTTTCGGTATGTGGTATTAATTCGAGTCTTTACCATAAGTTTAATTCTCTTAGAGAAAAATAATTGTAATTTTCTATAAATTGTTTGATAGATGCATCTTGAAGTATGTAAACCAATGCTTTTTCCTGTTTTAGCCGTGCTTTTGTACATTTTCTTTATATGGGAGTTTGATTTATTTTTGGAAAAACAATCGACATAGTTTTGTTTCTATTTCTAATTTTCTTGAATTTAAAGGTTGATTAAACATAATATGATGCAAATATTACACAAATACAAACGCTCGTGTAACATATATAATTTCTTAGAGGTTAGTGCCACAAATATCATTTATTTATAGATGGCCAGCTCATTAAGTATTGATTTTTGTGATGTACATTCCATCCACAAATGAGAAAAATAGGCTAGGAATATTGTCGTATTGGTCCAAATTATATGATCATCCCAATTACATTGATTTAGTAATTAGTATGGGGCATCATATGGGCTGCAACATAACACAATCTAGCTTTCTTTTCACAGGCCACGATAATAAAAAAATCCACGTCCGTGGGTATTCGTTGAAATTCGATATGCGGTCGAGTTTTTTCAGATCGGTTGAGAGACCAAAAAAGTTGTGACCGAACTTGAATGACCAACGGAAAATAGGAAACACATGCTTATTATAATCGAGTATACGAAGTATTGGTCGGTGAGACTCTAATAAATGTATAATGGCTCCACTATTAATAAGAGCCGCACATGTGATATTTTTACATGAATATTTTTGTATATGAAATGAAATGCTTGATTTGTCTACAGAATTATGATTTTGATCTCTCTTTCCAAGCAACTACACAAACTTGGATTGAAACTTTTTTTTAATAATAAAATTTGGATTAGAACTTAAAAACAACATTTACTTTACTCAATGATTGTCAAAACTCAGAACTATTTTGACCGTCCAGCCCATATAAAGGAGGAAGAAATAAGAGCATGGCCATGGCCATGGCCCATCGGCCTTCTGGTGCGAGTCCAGCCCATACAGGAGAACTTGATTGAAACAATTACAAAATACAGATATCAGTCGTAACCTTCCATAACTAATAGGCACTCAAATTGAATATTTTCACAAACACTTTTCTTCTTTGCCAATCCAGCTTCTTAACCCATTAAAGACCAAAGAAGAAAACCTCGAGAGCTCGATCCTTTCTTTTCCCCTTCTCAGGCACGCCTCCGATCGCCCTAACTTCACTTCACACTTCATTGGTTAGTTTGCTTTGTCCTCCTTTTCCATTTGCGTTGTTTTGGTTTTCTTCTGAATCCCTAATTTTCTTTCTCATGTTTGGTTTCAGTTCGTTAGTCGTCAGAATGTCGAGTTCGTCGATTGTGGAGGCGCCGCCGAAGGGTGGGTTCAGTTTCGATCTCTGCAAGAGGAATGAAATGCTCTCCGGGAAGGGCGTCAAGCATCCGAATTACAGGAAAACGGGAACCACCATTGTCGGCTTGATTTTCCAGGTTTGTGGTTCTTGCAACGCTCGTCTCGTGGTATTTGGTTCGGACTCCATTCAATTTTTAAGCTGGAAAGATGGGAGTTTTTTATGCTTAGGGTTGGTTTGATTTGAGCTGATTTTAATGGGTTGCCCTCCTAGTCACTTGATCTAGTTGTGCTTTATTGAACCTTTGAGCTTCTTTTAGTGTTTGCTATAGCCATGTGAGTGTGAATTTTTGTTGTTGATTCTCATTGCTAGAATGCATCTGGGATATTTGAGGATTGAGCGGTGAACATGCTCAAGAGAGATTCTCTCTTTGTTTGATTTCTCTAATTTAAGCTGGTGTTGCCACCCTTCAATTGGTGTATAGGATGGTGTCATTCTTGGAGCAGATACTAGAGCTACTTCTGGACCCATCGTCTGTGATAAGAATTGTGAGAAGATTCATTTTATGGCGCCTAACATTTACTGCTGTGGAGCAGGAACTGCTGCCGATACTGAGTCGGTGACAGGTATGGTTTCAGTTGTCAAAGTTGTTAATGCCTGATCGCTATATAAATCTTCTTCTCCATTAGCTCTTCAACTACCCCAGTTTAATGTGTGGCTTTGGATTGATTTTTTGTGTAGACATGGTGAGTTCGCAGCTGCAGTTGCATCGTTACCATACTGGCCGAGAGTCGAGGGTTATTACAGCACTTACTCTCCTGAAGAAGCATCTTTTCAAGTAACCTGTCTTCGACATTGAACTCTTTCTGCTTTCTGCAATGACCTTTTTTTAAGGCAACTGAGTTCCTTATTCTGCCTGCACATTGTTCTTCAGTTACCAAGGTCACATCTCTGCTGCTTTGGTGCTTGGTGGTGTTGATTGCACTGGGCCTCATCTACACACGGTGAGTCTTCTTCTGTTCAGCAGAATGTGCATGGCATTCTTTTTCATATGACTTTTGAGGAGACTTGATGACTTATTAACTTCTGTCCTTTGCAGATATATCCCCATGGATCAACAGACACTTTGCCTTTTGCCACAATGGGTTCTGGTTCTCTTGCTGCAATGGCTGTGTTCGAGTCGAAGTACAAGGAAGGCCTGAATGTAAGTTGTGTTAATGCGAGGTGTATATACCAATTTTTACAAGCAATTAGCAGTTGCATATAATTATTGGTTACCCTACTATAATCTTGATCACTTAAAACTTACTGAGTTACTCATTATATTTTCAGAAGGAGGAAGGAATAAAGCTTGTGACTGAGGCCATATGTTCTGGTATATTCAATGACTTGGGAAGTGGAAGCAATGTTGATGTTTGTGTCATTACAAAGGTGGGCAAATTATTACCTGATATATTTCAGTTTCTAGGACGATCCTTCAGTTTGTACCAATTTAACTTTGTCCTAAATGGTTATGGAACAGGGGGAAAAAGAATACATGAGAAACCACTTAAAACCCAATCCACGCACATACGTCAGTGCGAGGGCATACACCTTCCCCAAGAAGATAGGTTGGTATCATTATCCCTACTTAAACAAATAAGCATATAGCACTATCTGGAGCCATGTGCTTCAAATTCTTGTTTCCGCTCTTCATTGAAACAGATTAGAGTTTGGAACAGTTTCTCCTATCGTCTCACAGTCTGCATGCTAGTTTCATTTTGTATTATTCTCAAATTGGGTGTGACATGTGAAACTTAAACCTTGATTTGGTGACCTGGATGTTGTGATATAAGCAGCTGTTCATAGCCCTTTTTTTCCAAGTACCATGGCATGGTTAGTATGTGCAAGCTATAAGTACTGGTACTTGGTGTAACTATGCGTCTATGACAATCCCATCAGGATTTTGAGTTTTTCCGAAAATCATGTTCAACTACTATTCATGCTGAAATGGAAGGAACCCTTCTCTGCCTGGCTGGTTGAATGCGATCTGAGTTATTTTTACTGATTTCAAATCACTTATAATTTATATACTGCTATTGATATGTGTTGCAGAGGTCCTCTCAACAAAGATTACCCCACTGAAGGAGTTAGCTCAAGTGGTTGAGGCTGGTGACGCTATGGAAGAGTGAAAGACAGAATGATAGAGCTTTGTTTTAAGATCACTGTACTGTTACCGAATAGTTTCGAGAACTTGAGGACCCAATGTGATGTCGTTTTCGCTGAATTGCAAATGCTCGGCGGATCTTTTGGAGACTGTTTTATGTGATTAGTCTGTAGCATCTTTATCTTCACTTCTCTTCTTTGTTCTCTGACTGTCTTGAATTTAGTTGGAGAACGATGAAATGTACTCGAGAAACCAAGTTGGAGGAGGTTCTATTTATATCCGTCTTTGGATCAAATTCTAGGATGTTCATTTCCAAGTGCATTCATCGCATGCAATTGGAGCTACATTTTCAAACTGATTAGCATCGAAAAATTGTCTAGTTAGTCTTGTGCAATGGCAAGCCGAGATCAAGAAGTGAGTCTCCTCAAGCATTTGGTTTTCGATATTGATCTATTATGCTCTCTAAAAGTAAAAGCTGATCGATCAATGAAGCAAAAAGCAAACTAAATTTAACTTCTATCAAATTTGTTATTGTCATTTGGAGAAGCTAGTATCAATCTCACTTCTTTCATCTTCATGCAATACTCAATAGTGAAGTCTGGTTCTCCAAATTAGTATCAGCTACATTACGCTAGTTGTTCCTGATGATGCTGCTTGAGATAAACTTGACTACTAGAGTGATAAGTTTGTTAAGAATCGAAGTTTAGTCACCAATAGCAACCCCAAAAAACTTTTGATGACCATTTATGTAATTAATCATTCAACTCGTTACCGGGGAAGAGAAACTGTCTGGAATACTAATTCTGACGTGGCAAGCACTCATTGGCCATCACACCTACTTGCCTCTATCTCATTGGCCAGGTTTGGCATCTACACGTATAACCCAAAAAGCAAGTCGTTTTGGTTCCCGGTTCGACTCACTGACTTGACTCACCACCACCATCAGCAAGCAAGCAGACTCCCCGAGTTTCAGGAGACAAAGTTTCCCTCCTCCATTGTTTCCCAGTTCCCACCGCACCAAAGCTTCAACCAGTATCAGTAGAAGGAGAAGGAAGGAAGGAAGGAAGATCTCCAAGCCGGAACCTCAGGACTTTCGCCGCCGACGGTGGTCGGAGAGATCCAGCCTCTCTCCCTCGTTTCTCCACGTAATGGCGCGCCGAGCGGTGAAGCTCTTCTTCTTGCTATGCGCACTGTCCTACGCTCTCGTCACCATTGCCGGGTACGGTTCTTTTAGTAGCCTCTCCCCAATTTTTTTCGTCTGAAATCAGCTGTGGGGAAATCAAATTTGATGATTTTGGATTTTGAGATGTCGCAGGAAGAGCTACTACGATGTGTTGCAAGTGCCCAAAGGTGCGTCGGAACGATCAGATCAAGCGAGCTTACAGGAAGCTGGCGTTGAAGTATCATCCCGATAAGAACCAGGGGAATGAGGAAGCTAATAAGAAATTCGCAGAGATTAGCAACGGTATAGATTGGATTTGGTGGACATTGTACTCTCTGTATCCATCTGCTCTTTTTTCAGATTGAAATTGGTTTGCTTGAATCTTGAGCGATTTTGTATTCCCCTTGGTTTAGCTTATGAGACGTTGTCCGACGGCGAGAAGCGGAAGATTTACGATGCTTATGGGGAGGAAGGGCTTAGGCAGCATATGGCCAATGGAGGTGGCGGTGGAGGAATGACCATGCAGAACATTTTCGAGCAGTACGTTTTTTTCTTTTCTTCTCGTATTCTCTGCTTGTTTTAGATATCTGGAGTCCTGACATGGTATTCTTTGCTCTAGATTCTTTGGCGGAGGAGGTCAATCGGAAGAGGAGGAAGAGAGAATCCAAAAGGGTGATGATGTCATTGTTGATTTGGACGCCACATTGGAAGATTTGTACATGGGTGGTTCAATGCAGGTAGGATTAGGCATTCTAATCTATGCTTCTAACCAGCAATGCGAAATGCTAATGAGTTCTATCATTGTAAAGGTGCTAGCTTTTTATAGGCCATGTTTACTAGTCTCTGTTGGTGTACTTAGAAAGGGAACTTCCTTCCTACAGATGTGTTGAGTGAATCAGTTGGCCACGGCTAGCAAGCAATGGACTCTATTTCTTCATCGGGTGTAGGGTCGTTGATTTGCGTTAGAAATTTCTTCATCTTGACTCTTGTGTAACCATGAAGCAGAAGAAGAATTTTTATGGCTTATGTATCATGCATTTCTGTATATCTTGCTATTTAAGAAGATGATTGGGTTAGTGTGGTGATTATGTTCTCACCATATTTACTGTGCTTTCGGTAGGTGTGGAGAGAAAAGAATGTTATCAAGCCAGCCCCAGGGAAAAGACGATGTAACTGCAGAAATGAGGTCTATCATAGACAAATTGGTCCAGGGATGTTCCAGCAAATGACAGAGCAGGTATATGATGGCTGGAGACTCTGTTGGATTACTTGTTACATTTTCTTACAAGTGATCTAAGCCGCACGCTGCTAATGGAGTCCTGGCAATTGGATGCTTTTTCTTCCTGTAGAATGCTTCAAGTTTCATATGCATCTCTTATTAATTTCTTGCAGGTCTGTGATCAATGCCAAAATATCAAATTTGAGCGGGAAGGGTATTCTCTCACAGTTGATATTGAAAAAGGAATGCAAGATGGACAAGTAAGTTTCAGGATGTAAATAATTTTCCTTACTGGATGTATGGCTGGAGAAGAGTATTTGACCTGCTTTCTTACTTTCAGCAGTTTCCACTACCGATCACCTATTTAGGGAAGTAGTCTAGTATAACTTTTGAGGTTTTCCCTCTTCGGATTCGTAGAAGTCCCCTGTGTCATCCTTTTCTTTCTCTCTTAGTAAATCCAGTTTAGGAGACTGTTGAACTTTTTGGACTATTTCTTGTCCAGAATGAACTTTCATGCACTATCATTTCCTGGTGCACTTAGGGCTTGAAGTTGGATACTTTCTGTAAAACCATCTTGATTCTGTTCCTAGAATGGAGCTGTTTCATATAGTGGGACTCTTGCTAGTTAGGGCTGGAAGATCATAACTTCAATCATGATCCTACTTATATTCTATTTGTATTGGAATTGTGCTACACTTCTTGTGTGTGCATACTAGTACATCAGTGGATTTGTAGCATTGGTCCAATTGATTTGGATGTAATGTGTGGATGGATGACTGTTGCAGGAGGTTGTTTTCTATGAAGATGGTGAGCCCAAGATAGATGGGGAACCAGGAGATTTGAAGGTTTGTTTTCTCAACTGTGGTCTTCTTCTCTTTATGCAGCAGCAAAAATTCACCACTGTCCTATCATATTTTATACAGTTCCGCATTCACACATCACCTCATGACGTTTTCACAAGGAAAGGCAACGACTTGCACACCACAGTCACCATCACACTGGTAATTCTGCGACTAACTCAAGAGACGTCGTCTTTTCCTTCCTTTCCCCTCTAAGATCTTTCTATTTAACTGGGGAAAGAATGCCTGAAATGTATCCCACCAGGTTCAAGCCCTCGTTGGCTTTGAGAAGAAGATCAAGCACCTCGATGAGCATCTGGTCGATATAGGCTCACAGGTAAACCACATTATCAACTCCCCCTCTTTTCATTTGAACCCCAAATCCTGGAGTCTACTAGCACGGAACATTAACTCATTCCCAATATGCTCTCAGGGAATCACTAAGCCAAAAGAAGTAAAGAAGATCAAGGGCGAGGGGATGCCTCTGTACGCAAGCAACAAGAAAGGCGACCTCTATGTGACGTTCGAGGTTCTCTTCCCTAATTCATTGACGCAGGAGCAGAAGACGAAGATCAAGGAAGTTCTCGGCTAGAAGTATCGTTAGAAATTTTATGCCAGTCATTCCGAGGTTCCAACTATAGTTTTTAACTGTAACATGTCAGATAGAAGAACCTTGAGAGGAGGGAAAGCAAGTTTTGTTTCCTTGATTTGCCCCCTCTGTTCCCTGCCTTCCCCCAATTTTTTCCCCAGTAGTATACCAGAAAGAAAATTGAATTAGCTGTTTTTCCACTCTTGCGTGCCAATTCGTATGTACACTTTTAAGAAACCATTAATCGATAAGCACACCAAGCTGCTGCTGAGGTTATTGAGGTGTACTTTCAAATTTGACTGTGTGGAAGATTTATTTTATCAATGCAGTCATAAGTGTATTAGATCACATCTAATTGGAAGAAGATCAAAGTTGTTAATGTTAAGGCAGGAAAAAGGCAAAAATGAGACGCCCACCGTGGGGCTCGAACCCACGACCACAAGGTTAAGAGCCTTGCGCTCTACCAACTGAGCTAGACGGGCTTTTGTTGTTGAGAAAGCTTTATAGTTAAACAAATCTATCTTACATAACACTAACGGGTTTTTGTTGTTGAGAAAGCTTTATACTAAAAGAGTCCTATCCTACATATCACTTCACCATTTTACCACAAAAACAAGTGCTGTTTGATTTTAGTGATGGCATAAGTTCGTTCATAAAGATGCTTAACACTTGTGAGCCAATGAGGGTTTCCTATCCAAGGAGTATCAAACCCTTTAAACTTCACTTATGTTTCTCTTAAAATTTTGTATTACTAAATATTATCTTCACATGTTTTATATTTAATAACTAACTTGATTTTCGAAAGTTAAACCAAAAGTCGTTCTCATATTTTTATAGATTCTCTCCACTCATAATGGTTGAAAGAAGGTAACATAGGTCAAGATTCACATCTTGTTTTTTAGTCAAACAATTATTTGGTACAAGTAAACACCGAAACTCGAATAGCCTACTTTCACCATAAAAAATTATGAGGAGATTAGTCTTCATCAACTTCCTGTGGCTTCCTTTGAAGTAATCAAGTTGCATTCAAATGAGATATTTTGTTCATAGTTGTCTACTTTAAATCAACAAAAACTTAAAAAGACCACATCAAAGAATCGAGACACAATACTCCAATTACCCCATGGATAATTGTGCATTATAGTAAACCAAGTAAAGAGTTTCACCAATATATTGCGTTTACATCACTCTTCTTCTACATCCGACCAACTCCAACTAAACATTGTAACCTATTGCCAGGTTCAGAACTCCCCAGTCCCAAGTTTCAGAATAACTGCCCTTTTCACTCACACTACATTTATCAACCATCTTCAAGAAAGCCCTCGAAATTCGGATATAGATGCATTCCCTCTTCCTCGTCAAAATCGCAGTGCGTAAGGAAACCTGAAAAGAGATAACTTAACCCACAAGGCACTTCGGAAACAGCGTTCAGGCGTTTCCCAGAAAGCTGTAGACCTCATGACAGCAACTGAAGGGGGTACCAAAGATGTCACCCAGAAGAACCCCCAAACACCTGAAGGAAAACAGAAAGCGGCTATCAATGAGCCTTAGGTA